GTCAGTCAGGGATTTGGGAACGAGGTCCTGTGCTCTGTCAGTCAGGGATTTGGGAACGAGGTCCTGTGCTCTGTCAGTCAGGGATTTGGGAACGAGGTCCTGTGCTCTGTCAGTCAGGGATTTGGGAACAGCGCCCCGAGCTCTACCTTGTTTTGTCCCAGCGACGTTCCCTGGCAGCAGCACTGGGCACCCGGATCCCCTTGGAGCAGGGAGTGGGAATGACGAGCAGCTGCCAGCCCTTCCCAAACATCTGCTGTCCCCCCTCCTGCGGGGGGACAAAGTGGGGGGTTTGGGAAAGTGTCCGGGTTTGGTGGCTCCTGCCCTGGGAAAGCAGCCGGGAGCAGCTGGTGCCGGCCCCGGGCGCGGGACCAGCTGGGGGAGGAGGTTTGGGAGCTTCCCGAGTGCCCAGCTCCAGGCTGGAGAGGGTTTGACTTTCCTGGGAAGCTGTTCCCTAATTAACCCCCTGGAAACTGCCCTGGGAAAGCTGCTTTGGCCACCGACCCCCACCAGGTCAAGTTCTCCATTCCAGGGGTTTCTGCAATAAATCCCTTTGCTGGTAGCGTTACCCACCTGGGAAAGGGAAACATGGAATTGGTATATATTTATATGGACCAATGTTTAATATTCATGTGATATTACTGAGCTATTTTTTATATATTTATGTGGAAAACTCTGACTATTTCTGTGACATTTTTCATCATTTCCTGTGAAGTTTGATCAGGAGTATTGGAGGAGACACTTTGCACATGGAGATGGAAAATTCTGAAATATTTCTGTAGTGTTTTACCTATTTCCCTGTAAGTTTGGGCTCTGTTGAGGAGAGGTTTTGCACATTTACATACTTATTTTACATGTTTCTCTGTAAAATCCCTCAGGTCTCCCAGGCAGGGCCCCCCACGCTGCCCCCGTGCTGAGACTCTGCCAGAGTTAAATCCCGTGTTTCTCCCAGTTTTCTCCCAGTTCTCTCTCCAGCTTCCCATTGCCAGGAACATCGTTTTTGCTGTGGAATAATTCCTAGTTTTCCTTGATCAAGGCAATTCTGGAACACAAAAACCTGGGAGCTGGTGCAGGTGGCTCCGGTGTCCAGGTTTCCCTTTGCCTCAGTATTTTGGGAATTAGTTGTCCCGGTGGTGATTTAAAAATGCCGCATTTTCCACCTGTCTTTTGAAATTCCTCAAATACCTGGGTTGGAGCTGAGGATTCCTGAATGGCTTTCCATTAAACCTCCCTGTCAAAGGAAAAACCAGGATCCTGCTTCTCCAGACAAAGGATTTCGGGACCGTTATCCCTGATTTTCATCCCTGTGAGCTCAAAGCCTTCCCAGCACGGAGCTGCGGCCGCTCCCGGGAGCGAACCCCGCGGATCCAACGGCCCCACCCCCCAGCTCCATCTGCCCCTGGATCCCGCATTCCTGCCGTGGCTTTTCCTACAGCTGCTGCTAAAAATAACAGAGGCACGCGGCTGCTGCGGCCCCAGCGCCGCGGCTCCGGTTGCTGCCCCGGGCAGCGGGTGGGACCGGCCCGGCCCCGGTTCCTGTGCTCAGCTCGACTTCCCAGCTCCAGGGAAACGTGTGTCCGTGCTCCTCGCCTGGCACCATCGGGCGGGGCTTTCCCGGGGTTTAACAAGGAAGCTTTTCCGCTAAAATTCATAATTCCTGAAGAAACCGAAACCTGAGTGGCCAAGCCAAAGATTTCCGTGTCGGAGCCGGTGTTTTGGCAGCTAAACCAAACATTGGTTTTAAGGACAAACTTTCCAAATGGTTGAATTCCCCAATTCCATAACCACCTCACCTTACTCCTCGTGCCACCAGGAGAGGCAGAGCCAAGATTCCCGTTTTTAGTATAAAGCCGTGTCCGTGCTCCTCGCCTGGTGCCATCTTGGTGGGAGGACACACGGATGGGTCTTTCCCAAAGGTCTAAGAAGGAAGTTTTTCCCTGAAAACCTTTAATTTCTGAAGAAACCAAAACCTGAGTGGCCCAAGAGTGGCTGAGCTGGGATTTTGGCAGCTGAACTATACATTGGTTTTAGGGATAAACTCTCCAAATGGTTGAATTCCCAAATTCCGTGACCGTCTCCGCTTGCTCCCTCTTCCCCTTCCCATTCCCTCCCCTACAGCCTCTTGTTTTCCTTAACTTTAGCTGGATTTCTCCATGTTTCCAACAGGAAGATTGTAGGGAAAATAGATGAGGATGGCGACGGGTTTGTGACGGTGGAGGAGCTCAAGGCCTGGATCAAGTTTGCCCAGAAGCGTTGGATTTATGAGGATGTGGAGCGGCAGTGGAAGGGCCACGACCTCAACGAGGATGGGCTCGTTTCCTGGGAGGAGTATAAAAATGCCACCTATGGATACATCCTGGGTAGGTCCTGGTGCTGGGGATGAGCCTTTCCTGGAGCCAGCCAGACGAGCTGTTCACGAGGGTCAGTGGGATGGACATGGATCGGGATGGGGTCGTGGTGCAATGGTCAGTGGGATGGACATGGATCGGGATGGGGTCGTGGTGCAATGG